AAGATGTCTTAAACCTACACCTGTTGATAGACTCTATAAGCTTTGCACCCCCCCCCCCCCCCCCGGATGTACAACGGAAAGTTGCTGCCAACTGTGAGAGAAATAAGGTTGAACACTGTGAAAGCCACACATTACATGGCTATCAGCCTCCCCCCAGTAGACTCAAATCAAGGAAGAGTTTCATGAGAACCACCACTCCTCTTGTCTGCTGGAGCTAGGTGTGAATGTTTCAACTGATCACCTTGCTTAGCATATAATGGCCTGACAGTGCCTAGAGCAAAACTTTTGTTGAGAGATTATATGCTAATCAAGGTGGTCAGTTGAAACATTCACACCTAGCTCCAGCAGACAAGAGTCCTTTGTCTCACCCTGGTCATTCCACAGATATATAAACCCTTTTTCCTAGTTCCAACAGACCTCACTACCTCTGAGGATGCTTGCCATAGATGCAGGCAAAACATCAGGAGAGAATGCCTCTAGACCATGGTCTGAAAAAACCTACAACAACCCAGTGTTTCCGGCCATGAAAGCCTTCGACAATACATTGTTTTTAAACTCTTTTTATGATGTTGAGCATTGATTTTTGCTATTGTTAAACCGCTTTGAGTTGCCCAAGGGCTGAGAAAAGCGGTATATAAATAAAGTAAACAAACAAATAAATAAACAATAAACTGTTTAAAGCTACAGACAAAGCAGTTGCTGTTGCCCGTTTTTGGTCTAAAATTATTTAGCCACTTGTGTTCCCTCTATTTTATCAGTTTTATACTAGTTTATTTATGCAATGTGTTTGACCCAAAATAAATAAATCACTAAGTGTTCGATTTTTATACCTTTTATATACCTTGATGTCTGGGGTCACTCCTGGAAAGTTTAAGAAGCCTTGGTCTAGAATACATAGGGTAGGAAAATTGGCCAAATAAATGTATAAAAAATGTGCCCATTCAAGTCCCATAGGTAAACGGAAAGTCTTACACAACCTAATATTGGTGGCAAAGTTTGGTGGAAAACCGAAACTCTATCCCAGTGAGAGACTACGGAGATCTGATGATATAAACCACCGGCTCTTCCTTGTAGAGCAGGCGAAAATGGCATATTCGGCACGGACTATTCATTCCAAGGCGCTGCACCACTATTTTAAGTATGTGTTCAGACCATAAATCCATTACTAGCACCTGCTAATCCATTAATGTTGATAGAGGGGGTGGGAGGGGGAATATGACGGGATGGGGACACGTCCTGGCTCGATGGCAGTCCTGACACCCCATTTTTCCCCTTGAATGTCGTTTACAACCAACATGAAAGGTAAATCCTTTCTAACTCTTCTTCTGCCAACCCAAAGCAAGCAAGTGTGAGCTGCTAAAGCAATTTAAGCAGGAAGATGGTTTTGGTGTCCTGTGGACTAAGAGAGAAAGGAAGGAAGGCACACTTTGGGCTGGATTTCGCTTGCAATCCCTTAAAGTGCTTCCCATCCGATGGACCGGTTTGAAAAAAGGCAATGGCAAAAATCGTCTGAAAGTGGAAGCTTAAGCAGCATAAAATATTCAGGATGCCCCTGGGACCCACGAAGCCATTTGGAAAATGGCCATATGAACATTACGCCGTTATATGTGGGAAGTGTGAACTATATTTTATATATCTATGTACACACAGCTTGAGTGTGTAAACGTGACTCGCGCACACACTCCCTCTGTTTCCTCTGCTCTTGTATAAAAGGGGTTTTTTCTTTTCACTTTCTATGGAGCTTCAGAGCTTGGAAAATGCTCGTTTTGGGATCTAGTGCTCCCCAAGGACTCATCTAATAAATGCAGTTTGACAGCATTTGAACAGCCATGGCTCTATGTTATGGAATCCTGGAAGATTCTTTGGCAGGGAAGGCTGAAGTCCTTGGAAAACTACAATTCCGCTCTACCTGGAGAAGGAGATAGTTCCTTTCCTGAGGCAAAAAAAGCCAATGTGATTTTGGCCTGCATCAATAGGAACATAGTGTCTAGATCCAGGGAAGTAATGCTCCCCCTCTATTCTGCTTTGGTCAGATCACACCTGGAATATTGTGTCCAATTCTGGGCACCACAATTGAAGAGAGATATTGACAAGCTGCAATGTGTCCAGAGGAGGGCGACTAAAATGATCAAGGGTCTGGAGAACAAGCCCTATGAGGAGCGGCTTAAGGAGCTGGGCATGTTTAGCCTGCAGAAGAGAAGACAGAGAGGAGACATGATAGCCATGTATAAATATGTGAGAGGAAGTCATAGGGAAGAGGGAACAGGCTTGTTTTCTGTTGCCCTGGAGACTAGGACCCGGAACAATGGCTTCAAACTACAAGAAAGGAGATTCCATCTGAACATGAGGAAGAACTTCCTGACTGTGAGAGCCGTTCAGCACTGGAACTCTCTGCCCCAGAGTGTGGTGGAAGCTCCTTCTTTGGAGGCTTTTAAACAGAGCCTGGATGGCCATCTGTTGGGGCTGCTTTGAATGCAATATTCCTGCTTCTTGGTAGGGGGTTAGATGGCCCATGAGGTCTTTTCCAGCTCTATGATTCTATCCCTGGTCTTTTCTCTATGGAATAATCTATTCTCTGCTCACTAGGGCTCATCTAGAGTTTTATGGACTACATCTGCCCCCAAAATATCACCAATGTTTGGAGATTCTGGGAGACATAATTCTAGAAAAAGTATTACTCCCTCTGGCCAATGTTACAAAGCTGGGGTAGAAGGACAATTACTCCCTCTGGCCAATGTTACAAAGCTGGGGTAGAAGGACAACTTTGAAGACTGGCATCTCCAACTGCCCTGCGACTGTCCTGTTTCATGTCTCCCATGGAATTAAAAGAATCTGCAAAGCAAAAAGGGTTTGGCAGACGTGTCGATATAGCTTAGTGGAGCACAACAATACAGCCTGGCTGTTCAACCGTACAGCCTGAGACCACAATGAGAAGGAGAAGAAAAGAAGATGATGACGAAGAACACGGTTGTGTCCAACTGGACTCCCCTGAAAGGGAGAAATGAAACTCTCCATGTGGGAATTCCACCAGGATACAGCTCCGTACAAAACAAATAAATGCATGACCAGGGATCTTGGATGACCTCTCTGTACACTTCTAACACATTTTGGAAAGAAATAGCATTGGGTCAACTCCAGGCCAGCTGGAGTGCTAACTCTCACATGCCTAATACTTGAGTTCTTTTGCCCCAGACATGGGTCATTGGCACAACAAAAGGTGGGTGCCTGAACTTGTTGATTGGTGGTCCTCCAGATGTTGTTGGACTGATAGTCTCAATGGTTCTAGCATGCATGGCCAACTGGCAAACAGGAGGAATTATTATGAAGGTTCTAGCCAAGAAGAAGGAGCCATCAGGCATGGTCTAACACAGTGGTTCTCAACCTGTGGGTCCCCAGATGTTTTGGCCTTCAACTCCCAGATACCCTAACAGCTGATGAACTGGCTGGGATTTCTGGGAGTTGTAGGCCAAACACCTGGGGACCCACAGGTTGAGAACTGCTAGTCTAACATCACTCAGAAGGCCTCAACTTCCCCAGTGCCATCTTTGTGGCTCTCAGGTCACAGGAGGTCCTCAAGTCACTTTTCATTTTGGCCCTCAACCTTTCCAGTCACCAGGAGGAGGAGATGAAGATGGTGATGATGATGGAAGGGAAAGAGGAGAAAGGGAAAAGAGAAGAAGGGAGAGGAAGAAGAAAACAAGGAAGCGGAGGAGGAGAGAAGGAAGGGGGAAGCTTCCGAGAGCCACTTGGACCTCCAAGACAGATGCTTTTAAATAAGTTGTTGGTCACCCTTCAAGTGAACCAGTTTGTGGTGGACTATATGGATCCTTAAGGACCTAGAAATCCTGGAAAGAACACTAGGAGAACCTAAAGATTCCTAGAAGGAACATATATCTAGGTCCTTCAGTGTGGTTTTATTATCAGCTTCCATTGGAAGTTCGTTTAGGGCTACTTGCTTGCCTCCTTTTGCGCAGCATCCAATGCCAAACGTTCCAGCAAAAGTTGACCATGGAATCATAGAATCATAGAATCAAAGAGTTGGAAGAGACCTCATGGGCTATCCAGTCCAACCCCCTGCCAAGAAGCAGGAATATTGCATTCAAATCACCCCTGACAGATGGCCATCCAGCCTCTGTTTAAAAGCTTCCAAAGAAGGAGCCTCCACCACACTCCGGGGCAGAGAGTTCCACTGCTGAACGGCTCTCACAGTCAGGAATTTCTTCCTCATGTTCAGATGGAATCTCCTCTCTTGTAGTTTAGGGCATGTATATCCCGTCCTAGTCTCCAGGGAAGCAGAAAACAAGCTTGCTCCCTCCTCCCTGTGACTTCCTCTCACATATTTATACATGGCTCATCATGTCTCCTCATCAGTCTTCTCTTCTTCAGGCTAAACATGCCCAGCTCCTAAGCCTCCTCATAAGGCTTGCTTTCCAGACCTTTTGGTCATCTTGGTTGCTTTCCTCTGAACATGTTCCAGTTTGTCAATATCCTTCTTGAACTGTGGTGCCCAGAACCGGGCACAAGATTCCAGTTGATGGAAGAATCTAAACTTATCACTGTTAGGGAGGAGCATGACTTCCCTAGATCTAGACACTATGCTCCTATTGATGCAGCCAAAATCCCATTGGCTTTTTTTGCCGCCACATCACATTGTTGGCTCATGTTTAACTTGTTGTTCATGAGGACTCCAAGATCTTTTTCACACGTACTGCTGGAGTTGTGCTGGAGGACATAAAGATTGCTCGATGTTTTCCATCAAGATTTTCAAAAGAGCATTTCTATCACTTGCAATTTTCCTACTTCCTGTGTCCCTAAAACCAGCAAATATGGAAGGTTGGCTATATTTGAGGTCCTTCTCAAAACAAAGTCAGAGAAGTGGACAAAATGGTGGTGATTTGGTTATTGGTGGACTTGAACTCCCAGCATCTTCAGTATTGGCTCCGATAAAATGGCTGCTGGGACTTGCAGTTGACCAATGTAACATTCCAACACGCATTTACCTGTCTTGAGTCCCGTGGGATCCCACTTTATCGTTCTTCATGCAGAAATCAGGCGAGCTTTGCAGGTAAACCAGCTCCGACTCCTTGACCGGGCGGATATCAAGATCCTTGGGCACCAAGTGCTTGCGGGTCCCCATGGGGCGGTGTACCACTTTTGTGGCAGAAAGGTATTTGTTTTTCAAGTCCAGGGCAACGTCCCGCAACTCCTGCAGCCCCTTCCAGCAAGTCTTGATGGAGCAGGAGCCAGAGACTCCATGGCATTTGCATTTCATTTCCATGGATGCTTTCAAGGCCTGCAAAAATGGCAAAGAACAAGGGTCTTGAAGCAGAGGTTCCACTTTGTTCCCACATCCCAACACTATATTCTCACCACCCAATGAAGGCTGAAAATGCAGATGTGTGGATCCCAATAGATTAGAGCACTAAAATGTAACTTGAGTGTATTTGACATCCCGTTAGCATAAAACTGGGGCAGGACTACCGATCTCATCCATCCCTTAATACTTTATTTTCCCTAGCAGATTCAGATCACATTAACAGCCATAGCTCAATGTTATGGAATTCTGGGGTTGGTAGTTTTGTGAGATATTTGTCCTTCTCTGGTCAAGAACTCTGCTGTCACAGCAAACTACAAATCCCAGAATCCCATGGCATGGAACTACAGCAGTTGAAAGTGGTGTCAAAATGCTACAGTTCAGTAGCACAGATGGGAGCCTGCCGTCATTGTACATTGCAGGTTCCTTCAGGCCCAGTCGTGGGCAGAATAGCACTAGAACTCTTCTCCTTTTGCACATTTCCTTTTATGATAAAACTTTTAATTTTGCAAAGTGGGAAAACACCAGCAAAAATGCAAAAAAATGTTGGGTTCTGGGGGGTAGGTGGGGGAGTTATACCCATGGTGTGTTGTCAAAGGCTTTCACGTCTGAAATCACTTGGTTGCTGTGAGCTTTTTGGGCTGTATGGTCAAGATCCGGTAGCATTCTCTCCTAATGTTTTGCCTGCATCTGTGGCTAATGGCTTCCTCAAATGTTATGTTGGTGGTGAAGCAAATGGAGTGTAAATATATCTGGGGAATGTCCAGGGTGAGAGAAAGAACCCTTTTGTGTTTGAAGCGAGTGTGAATGTTGCAATTAGCAAGACTGAATTAATATTTGAGTAGCCATGAAGCTGCAAAGTCAATCAATGAGGGTCTCTGCATAGAGGTGGCCTTGCCTCTGTTGCCTGGAGGCATCCCCTGTATGGGTGTGTGTGTGTGTGTTAACTGGCCCTTCATTGCTTGCTGTCTGGGGTTCTCTTGTTTCTGAGTAATGTTCATTAGTGCTAATTGCAACATTCATACTTCCTCTGAACAGACAAGAGTTCTTTCCCCAACCCATTTCACAGATTCTCTCTTTGTCTGTCTGTCTGACTCTCTCTCTCACACACACACACACACCACACACCACTTGCCTCACTGCCAACAGAACCTCTGAAAATGCCATTAGCCATAGATGCAGGCAAAACGTCAGGAGAGAATGCTGCTGGAACATGGCCATACATCCCCCAAAATTCACAGTAGCCCACCAATACCCATAGTGTTTGTGCAAATAACATTTTCAAGTACATAGATTGAGAATTCACAAAAACGTGTATATACAGTTGCACATCCACATTTGTGGGTTTGATTGTTGCAAATTTGATTACTCACAGATATGATTAAAATGTTCTCTCTAGAAATCTCTAAGCCAGCGGTTCTCAACCTGTGGGTCCCCAGGTGTTTTGCCCTACAATTCCCAGAAATCCCAGCCAGTTTACCAGCTGTTAGGATTTCTGGGAGTTGAAGGCCAAAAACATCTGGGGACCCACAGGTTGAGAACCACTGATCTAAGCTTTCCACTGGACCTGCAGAGTCAACATCTACTGGAAGCTCACCACAAAGTCATGCAAGAGGATCTAGATATTTCTAGAGAAAGGCTCTCTCAGGGTGCAAAAGTACTAACAGGGAAATTCTCCTTTCTCGTCTCTTGCTTGGAGGCATCAGGACTTGGATTAGCAATCTTCTGCATGCAAAAAATGTCCTTCACCCAGTGGTCAGGGACATCTTCTTAGCTACCAATCCTTCCTAGCCAGGTCCTACTGGAAATACAATGACACAATCCACCCATTGTTTTCTACCTAGGAAACAAGAACTGCCTCTTCTCCCTTCATTGCCACCCCATAATCTACTGCGAGAGATAAGGCCTGTCTAGTTTGTACACAGGACAAATCCCTTTGAGTGTCCACTCTCCGATCCCTCAGTTCAGACCCCGGAGGACGGTGATTGCATAATGACAAGAACTCTCTCGGAGCGGTTACCTGTCTCCCTACTTCACTGTTGTGCAGATGCATCAGCTTATTGGCTTGTGATCCTGATTTTTTCATCTTCATGGGAGCATCTGAAAATTTGGACCCCATGACAAGACCATAGTTGAGGTTGTCAGCACATCCTCCCCAGCGATACCCAGGTCCAGGTGTCTCACCTGGGATGGGACCACAGGAGCAGCCAGGGAGGTCCCCCGTGGTGCACGCTCGGGCAATGGTGTGGCTGATGGCGGCGGCGGAGAGCGCGTACACAAAAGCGGACTCCCTGGTGCCTGCAAGACAGGAGGAGAGGCCCCATTAGTCACTGGCCAGGCTTCAAGCAAAGTGAGATGCAGCAGAGAGGAATGTACACAGCTATGAGATGCACAGATCATAGAATCATAGAATCAAAGAGTTGGAAGAGACCTCATGGGCCATCCAGTCCAACCCCATTCTGCCAAGAACCAGGAATATTGCATTCAAATCCCCCCTGACAGATGGCCATCCAGCCTCTGTTTAAAAGCTTCCAAAGAAGGAGCCTCCACCACACTCCGGGGCAGATATAACATGGGTGCAAAGAGTCCATACAAAAGGGATCTAGGAGTCTTAGTAGACCTCAGGGTGAACATGAGCCAACAGTGTGATGCAGCAGCTTAAAAAGCCAATATGATTCTAGGCTGCATCAAATGAAGTCTAGTCTCTACACCAGGGGAAGTCATAGTCCCACTCTATTCTGCTTTGGGCAGAACTCACTTGGAATAATGATCCAGGAAAATCAATTCAAGAGGGATATTGACAAGCTAGGACGTGTCCAGAGGAGGACAACCCAAATGGTCAAAGGTTTGCTATCCAAACCCTATGAGAAATGACTGAGGGCGTTGGGTATGTTTAGCTCGGAGAAAGGAAAGCTGGGATGGGACGTGATAATTGTGTTTAAATGCCTGAAAGGACATCACAGTGAAAATGGCATTGGATTGTTTCCTGCTCCTCTAAAGGCTAAGACATAGAACAATGGGACTGAAAAGCAGATTCCATTTAAATATTAAGAAAAATGTCCTGATGGTAAGAGCTGTGGTAACAGTGGAAAAGACTGCTTGGAAGTGATTTCTGGAGGTTTTTGAACCAAGGCTGAGTGGTCATCTTTGTTGGTGTCTTCTTGTATGACAGAATGAGGCTGGACTGGATGACCATTAGGGTCCTTTCTAACTCTATGCATCTATGATTCTGATCCACAAGATCTGCTTTCACAAAAGAGACTGGAGTGGGCTGTATGAAGCCTTACAAGACATGGTCCCCAAAACTATTTACATGTGTTCCACATAAGCACATTTTTCAAAACAAAAGCAAGAGATGTTGTAAGTTTTTCAGGCTGTGTGGCCATGTTCCAGAAGCATCTCTTCTGACATTTCACCTGCTGTAGATGCAGGCAAAATGTCAGTAGAGAATGCTTCTGGAACATGGCCATACAGCCCCAAAAACTTACAATAACCCAGTGATTCCAGCCATGAAAGCCTTCGATAATAAGGAGCCCCTGGTGGCACAGTGGGCTAAACCCCTGTGCCAGCAGGATTGAAGACCGACAAGATGCAGGTTCGAATCCAGGGAGAGCGTGGATGAGCTCCCTCTATCAGCTTCAGCTCTTCATGCGAGGACATGAGAGAAGCCTCCCACAAGGATGATAAAACATCAAAACATCCGGCTGTCCCCTGAGCAACGTCCTTGCAGACGGACAGTTCTCTCACACCAGAAGTGACTTGCAGTTTCTCAAGTCACTTCTGACACGAAAAAAGAAAAGCCTTCGACAATACAAAAAGCAAGAGAGCAAATAGTTCTGGAGGTGTAGATCTGCTCTAGTCCTTTGGGAGTAATACCCCTTACATGCACCCACAACATCGCTGAATCCTGAATAATGTATTAATTCCTCCATGGAAACAGTTTAGCATTCATACCTGATGTAGAGACTCATGTTCATTTCAAGTTTGCAGAAGCAGATGTGTGCATGTGGTATCCCTGGGCATGGGAGTACGTGTGCATTGCATGGATTTGCACTGACACATTTGGTCACACAGTATTGTCACTCACTAAGAAACTGGTATGAACACAACCACTGCACATAAAGTGCAGTGAGAGTAAAGTTGTGATCTGACCTTCAAATTGCTTGTGGAGACCCTTTGGAATTCAATGGGTTTTCTTAGGTAAGGAATTAATCAGAGGTGGTTTTGCCAGTTCCTTCTTTTCAAAGACATAATCGTGGCCCAGATTGGGACATATTTTTCATAGATATGGGGGTCCTACTATAATTTACAGCACCTGGGATTGGTTGGTGGTCTCCTATGACAATAATGTGTCATGACACACAGTTTGGAAAACCTTTTTAAAGGGTATTTAGGGTATTCTGGAGCCTTCGGGGTATTTCTTGTTTACCTCTCTCCAAGTCTAGCAGGTAGTTAGGAGCCAATTCAATGGAGGAGCAATTCCACCGCATGTCGGAGAAGGTTTTGCGGCAGGTCTTGATCACCTCCCGTGCCGCCTGGATGATGGTTTGCATGAGCTCCAAGTTGCTGCGGCACAGTTGCACTTGGGAAACCACCAGCCCTTCCAACTGCTTGCAATGCTGCGTCTGGTTTAAGGCGAGAGCGGAAGGTGTTTTGAACAAGGCTCTGCAAAAGGAAAAGGTGGGAAGAACACAGGCATCATTAGCAATCTTGACTGTCCCAAAAAAGAGCTTGGTATTTTATAAATGCCCAAATTGTACTTTTATAATCATGCTAAGAGGGTCAGAATTTTAAAAATACTGGAAGGGTTTGGTTAGCATTGACCTTGAGCTTTGGAGTTGTAGTTCATCTAAATCCAAAGAGCACTGTGGACTCAAACAATGATGGATATGGACTAGGCTTGTTTGATCGTGTTCGTTAGTTTCTAAAGTCGTTATTAATTCGTATTTAAATTAGCTTACGATCCAATATTGAGCCATGCAGGAATAGTGTGAAGAGTAATTAAGAATCGAAACAATTTTTCCAAATTTTCGTAATTATTTCGTAATTATTTCGTAATTATTAAGACGGGAAAGAAGGAGAGAAAAGGTGCCAGCGTTGCCTTTCCTCCCCATCCTCCTCCTCCTCCTCCTCCTCCTGGAGATATTTTATTATCTTATTACTTATTTTATTATTTTATTTTATTTTTTATTTTATTATTTTATTATTTAATTATTTAATTAATTTTAAATGATTTTAATTTATTATTTTATTATTTTATTATTTTATTATTTTATTATTTTATTATTATTTTAAGTGATTTTAATTTGTATTTTTACTAACTTAATGTATTTTAATTTCATCCTGAATTTCAGAAGTTCCCCCTGTCCCGTTTGGAGGTGTTTTTAGCGCATTGCGCAATCGCGTCCGCCATTAACGAATCGATTCGTAATTAACGAAATTTCGTAAATTTCGAAATTTTGAAATCTTAAATTTAGGAAGTCCTCAGAAATTTGAAACGCTGGTGCCCCCTGGAAACGAAGCGAGTTTAGAACCAATAAATATCTGATAGACAGGATGTATTCACTGGACCAAAACTGGGATGGATACTCAATATGCCCAAATGTGAACACTGGTGGAGTTTGGGGAAATAGACCTTGACATTTGGAAGTTGTAGTTGCTGGGATTTATAGTTCAGCTACAATCAAAGAGCATTCTGACCCCACCAATGAGATAATTGGGCCAAACTTCCCACACAGAACCCCCATGACCAACAGAAAATACTGTGTTTTTTGATGGTCTTTGGTGACCCCTCTGACACTATGGTCACGACTGCGCCCCCCCCAGGGGTCCCAACCCCCAGGTTGAGAAATGCTGGTCTAGACTGAGGAAAGTCATAGTTCCTTCCACTCTATTCTGCTATCATCAGACCTGATATGGAACAAAACTATCTCTAGTTCTTGGCACCATGATTCAAGAACCAGTTGACTAATCAAAACATGTCCAGAGAAGGGCGACCAAAATGGTAAAAGGTCTGGAAACTATGAATCCCTCTGAGGAGTAGCTTAGAGAGCTGAATATGTTTACTCTGGACAAGGGAAGATTAAGAGGAGAGATGTTAGCCATATTTAAGAGGATGTCACTGCTACATTAGTGACCAGAACATGGAGCAATGGATTCAAACTTTAATAAGAGATTCCACCTAAACATTAGGCTTGGTAAGAGCTGTATGATAACTGCCTGGGAGTCTGGTGGAGTCTCTGTCAGTTTATAAACAGAGGGTGGATGGCCATCTGTCAGGAATGCTTTGATTGTGTCTTCCTGTCTGATTCAGAGTTATTTGATTCCCGTTGTTTACTAATCTATATAAATAAAAATGTAATGTCTGTTTGTGGGATTAACAGAACTCAAAAACCACTGGACAAATTGACACCAAATTTGGACACAAGACACCTAACAACCCAATGTATGTCCTTCACTCAAAAAAATTGATTTTGTCATTTGGGAGTTGTAGTTGCTGGGATTTATAGTTCACCTACAATCAAAGAGCATTCTGAACCCCTCACCAATGATGGAATTGAACCAAACTTGGCACACAGAACTCCCATGACCAACAGAAAATACTGGAAGGGTTTGGTGGGCATTGACCTTGAGTTTGGGAGTTGTGGTTCACCTACATCCAGAGAGCACTGTGGACTCAAACAATGATGATCTGGACCAAACTTGGCACAAATATTCCATATGCCCAAATATGAACACAGATGGAGTTTGGGGAAATAGACCTTGACATTTGGGAGTTGTAGTTGCTGGGATTTATAGTTCACCTACAATCAAAGAGCATTCTGAAACCCACAAACGACAGAAATGGGGCAAACTTCCCACACAGAACCCCCATGACCAACAGAAAATACTTAAGGCCATCCAGTCCAACTCTCTTCACCAGGGCAAGAAAATGTAATCAGAGCCCTCCTGACAAAGAGCCATCCAGTCATAAATATAGATAGATAGATATGATTCTCTCTCACACAGAGAGATATAGTATCACAGATTTGAAAGAGACCCTTAAAGAAGGACTATGATATGTTGCATATTCCAGAGTAGGCAAACCAGACACTCTCCACATCAACACTGACAAAGAAACAACAAGAAATACTGTTTACTCACAAGCATAAAGGAATTACATATATTAGAAACCAACACTTTCTAATTACTTTATTTTCCAGATCAGCAGACTGGGACACAGCAACGCGTGGCAGGGGATGGCTAGTATATATTATGAGGTTAATCCTTGTTGGATTTGTTGGAATGTAATCTCATAGGTTGCCACAGCTAATCACGTTCAACAAGACTATGGGAAAATGAAGCCAGGTTTTAAGAGGGCAACAAGGGAGGAAGGAAATAAACACCTGTTGCCAGTTGGGTACCTAACAAATATTTCATTGTGATCCAATGCAGTTGAACACGGCTGGCCCTGAAAGCACTACTTTTGAAGCCAGTCTCAAAAATGAGAAACAATGCTGCCAAATCTCGTTCCAGGTTCTTTCCTGACCCGAATCCAAAGGACTGAACACATCTCATTTCTCATAAGTCTCTGCTGAGGTCAAAAACATATTTACTGATTTATTTCTTAAAGCACAATTCACCCTTACCATCCCTTCTCCAAGTAACTATTGGCCAAGGACCTACAAAACAAACCCCAAAGCAATGCAATGTGAAATGAAATGATGTATAGCACCACTTTTTGGCAGTACTGAAAATGCCTCAGCTGCCATTGCATGCCAAGTCAATATTAGTATTTTTATGTTGCAGAAGGCAAGGGACTTGCGTTCATAACAAAATGTAAACCCTGGTTTTTCATCCATGTTTTCTGCACAACTTGGTTATATCGGCTGTTAGGATCTGTAGGTCTTGAAGTCCAAAACACCTGGAGGGCCAAAGTTTTTCCATGCATGGTCTACCCTGACCGCAGTTTCAAACTGCATTATATAGCAATATGGATCCTGCCGACCTCTCTGTTGAGCTCAGCAGCAAGATGTGGGGATGCTGGGGATTCCGTCTCAGAGGATGAGGGGAATGAAGGATTTTTCACTGAGTCTGGGTGTAATCAGGCTGAAAAACAGGCAGAACTGCAGGTTGTAGATCAGAGAGAAGGGCCAGCAGCTGCAGAAGTGATTGAGGATGTTTGGGGTTCTCTTTCCCTTGGGAATTAGCTTTTTTGGCCTTTAGAAGATGAGGAGTTACCCCGTGATATGAGATTAGGCCTCTGCACAGAGAGAGCATAGTGCAAAGGTTGGTGGCCAGGCTGTTAACTGGAACACATTACAGGGTGCGATCAACCCCCGTTCAAACAGCTCCACTGGCTGCCGATAAGATCCGGTCTCAATTCAAGGTGCAGTGTGCTGTCATGTGCTGGCCCTGTGAAAGAGTCTGTAGACAGGACATGTTTTCTGAATGCCCAACAGGACACCGGGGGGTGCCTCGGCTGAGAGGCCTTTCGGATTTCCCCACACAAAGTTCTTTTAAAAGCTTAGAAAGTTCAACAAAGTTTTTATTGTTGCTTAAATCTTCAATAAGTCAAACAAATACTTCAAGGCTTTGGATCAACTGGTGGCCTGCTTAAACCTTGTCCACAAGGGACAGGCAACTTTCTTCATAAACTGTTTCTTCCTTCTACAAGGGAAATCCTTCACCTCTCCCTGGGCAATCTAACTTATGCTTAAGCTGTGCTGGCTCCCAACACCCGGTCCAAATTGCATTACGGCTGCCGCAAGTGGTCCTTACCAAACAGAGTAGATTTCCAAGAGGAAAGAAGGCTTTCAATTCCCAGCTAAAACTGGCTGTAGAGTTGTGGAACTAAATTCCCCAACAAAAGCTATGCTGTAGTTCTCTGTAGAGCTGTGGGACTGGATCCTCCAGCAAAGCTGTAAAAGACGAAGCTTTCTACAGGTGGAACTGATTCACGTCCTGTACGAAAGGCTTCTCTGTGTGAACTGAACTAGAGGTCCCCCTTTCCCCTCCTTAACCCAGAAAAAGGGGCGGAACTAAAGAACATAATGATAACTGATGGGTCATTGGTCATTATTGCAAACCAAGGGAAGCCACCTTATTGCATAATGCATGGAACTTTGGAATACATGCAAACACTCAATAGAAAGGAAAAGAAGTTGGAGCTCCTGGTACAGCCATACCAGCACATGCAGGTTATCACCTATAAAGCCCTAAACAGTTTAGCACCTGCCTATCTTCGCGACCACATCTTCCCCTACGAAGCTGTGTTATCTTTAAGATCTTTTGGGGAGACTCTCCTCTCGCTCCCACCCCTGTCACAAGCGCAGTTGGTGAGAATGAGAGAGAGGGCCTTCTTGGTGGTGGCCCCCCGGCTCTGGAACTCTCTCCCCAGGGAGATTAGGCTGGCACCCACCCTATCCACCTTTCTCAAAGATCTAAAATTGTGGATGTTTCACCATGCTTTTGATGAGATAATTTGCCAGATCATTTGGCCCCCAGCTATGACCCAAGATCTAGTCCTTGCACCATACTACTGATCCCCTAGACATAGATATAGCGCTCTACTTCATATTGCCCTCTATTCCTAATTTTGTCATCTGGCTTTGCACTGTTTACTATATCAGGCTATTGGTTGTTTGCTCAAAGTTTGTTTTTATATTGTTTTATGATGTTGTTTT